CATCCTTTGACATTCCTACAATTCGCACAGAAGGTCTAAATGTCCTGACAAGTTTTACCTCATATGTATTACTTAAACTAGCGCTAGCTAGCTGTTTTAATTTATCACCGCATGACTGATTACTACATTCCACGAGAATGCCACCACTAGATACAGGCTTCACAGTATTAATTATAATGTTTTCATCCACCAGATTGACATTTTTTACAACATCAGATTTTGTTTGGGACAGAGATTGATCAGGCTTTTTTGGTCTAATTATTACCTTGCTTGGTTGAGAAGAGACTTTATTTGCATAAGTGGGGATATGATTACTATCCTTACAACGATCAGTATTACTTTCTGAAGTTTTAACAGTTTGGCAAGATTTAACAAGGTCAAGGTTACGCTCCTTCAGATCATTGACCTCAGCCCGAAGTAATTGAATTTCAGAAAGTAATTGTTGCATTCCTTGATCTTCAGCAACTCCAATTTTAGAAGAAACATTTGGTAGAGTATTTAATTTTTCTTTTATGGGATTAATCTCAGCAATTAGCATTTTACGCACATACTTCAAAAAGATATTGTTTTCCACGGCTGCATCATTAAATGTACATGCGGTGGGCGAAAAAGGAGGCGACTGAAAAATATCAATGCAGTGAACACATAATATTTTTAAATGTGGAGAACGACGATGCATAATTCTGAATGTAGCTGCTTCATCAGATGAAATACTGACACAAGATAAGTGAATATAAATAGATGAAATAGATGAGGTAATATTATGATGCATTTCAGAAATTCTAAAATTATGAAAATCAATTTTGTTTAGTAAAATACATACTCCACCTCCATTTCCTTTTCGATCACAACGATAGATATGATAATCAGGCAAGTCAATTAACTTATTACCAATTGATTCAACCATGTTTCGGATATAGCTAAACATGAAATTCTATTATTCTGTAAATATAAATTTAGGGAGTTTAATTTTGCCATTATTGATGCGATATTTGAGTATGCAAAGGAGAATTGTTTTAATTCAGTAGCAGTTTCAGTTTCATTAGGCAAGGGCTCACCTGGGGTATTAGTATTCGAAGCATTTATATATTCCAGTACACATGTTGATGAGTTTGTAAGTAATTGCTATTGCCGTAGGAAATTTTCTTTTTTAAATTGATCTATTGCAGCTTGATATACAGGACATCTGTTGTTCCATGCGGCATGATTTGTGTTGTGCTGAGTGTCACTATCTTTTGTTGCTTTTTTACAGTTGATGCAATTGAGAGTTTGAGCTTTACATTCAGATACAGAATGTTCTAACCCGCACTTCGGACAAGATTTTGGCTGCCGACAGTTTCTTGAAGAGTGATTGAAGCCGTTACAGTTGAAGCAGCGAACAATATCAATTGCGTGGTAAGCATAACAGTAGTCGTACCCAATGAATATTCCTCCAGCTTTCATGATGAGATCGTATGTAGATTGATCGATTTGTAACACAGCTTGGTATACTTTGGAATTCTTTTTTGTCGGCCACTGTTTTAGTAGCTTACATTCAGGATGATAGTTCAATGAGAAACTCTTACTTTTCACAGAATGTTCGAGAAAATTGATTAGTTCAGTTTCGAGGTATTCCTGAGATAGCCCGACAATTTTAATTCTGGGTTGCACACCTTTAATTTCGTGGATTTCATAGTTAGCTCCTAATTTATCAGTAGCACGTTTTTTAAAACGATCGTTTTCTTCCTTAGAAGGAAATCCTATCAGGACTCCACCACTTTGCGTATTTTTAATTTTCGTGAAGGATAACTGGGATTCCAAGGGATTTATGTTGTCTCTAATGTCGGACTTAGTGAGAGTTGTAGTTTGTATGATATTTTTTGGCTTAATGATGACTGCCCGTTGAGTTTTGTCTTTCAGGATTTTCGAATATGATGGGACAGTTGCACTATCCATCTCAGATTGATGTAACATTCGTATCTTTTCATCAGCGATCTTATTAAAATCAGTTTTCAGTGTATCAAACACAATGGATCCAACAACAACTTGTGAAGCACTTCAGGAGTATCTGAGACCGCATTTCCCTGAGGTTACATGTATGAAATTGGAGTCCAGAAACGCAACAATATACTCATCGTTCAAAGTGAGCATTTATAGGGATAATTTCGATGAGGCCATGAATCCTTCTATATGGCCAAAGAATGCATGTGTTCGTAAGCCAGGCAACGGATAGTGAGATTTTAACAAATTTTGCGACGTTGTCAAATGAATGTTCATTAAGTTATTAATTAGTTAATAGAAGCGTAAAAAACGATAGTGAATAGGGCATTCACTAAAATATCGATTTAAAAAATTATTTAGTTTAATAAGTTGATTACTAAAAAAATTGATAAACAATAATTTAAAGAATGGCGCTGAATACGGGTTATAGTATTTTGGACAACGCGTGTTACTCTCAATTCAATCTCGATAATAGACCACGTATACGTCAGTGAACACTACGTAGATTTCGCTTATGTTTTCGATAACAACTTATCTGATCACAGAACGGTTCTGTGTCACGTAGACTATTATTTTTTAACTAAAAATACTTACCAACATATCTTATACCTCGAGAAATTACAGCGACTTGACTGCTTTATATAATTTTCAAAATGCTTTAGCTACAGAAAATTGGAATGAATTATATCTTATTGAAGATTTTAACTCAGCCTTTCAATATTTTTATAATACATTTTTATACTATTTTGACAAGATGTTTCCATTACAGAAGAGAAATAAATACAAGGGCTCACATAAAAATGACTGGATTAATAATGAGGTTAAACTGTTCAGTATGAAACTGAAGGATTTGTTTACATTAAAAAGTGATTTTCCTGATTTACAACCAGTGTATAAATTTGAAAAACCAAAAAATAGGAAACTAATTAAAGAAACTAAAAAGAGATATTTTCAAAACAAAATTATAAACTCTGACAACAAAATCAAATCTGCATGGACTATAGTTAATAATCTGACTTCTACTTATGTGTAGAAAATTAAAAAATAAAAGTTCTTCTGGAGCAAATGAAGTTCCAAACTTTTTGCTAAAGAAAGTAATCTCCAACATTGTAAAACTAATGGTTTATCTGGTTAATCTTTCTCACTGTACAGGTCAGTTTCCAACGTGTCTCAAATTAGGTAAAGCGGTTCCTATTTATAAAAAGGGCGATCGTATGCTGATGAAAAACTATAGGTGAGTTACAGTTTCCACTGCGTTTTCAAAGATTTTTGGATACTGTTTTTTGGAGAGACTCCTTCTACACATTGAAAGAAACAATATTTTGAACAATATTTTGACTAATAAACAACATGGTTTCCGTAAAAAGAAATCTACTAACACGCAACTGTTTCATTTTACGAAGACCTGGTTCGCTTTGTAGAGGCCGGTGAATGCCCTGTTGGGATCTTTTGCGATCTCAGTAGGGCATTTGACTGTGTTAATCACGACAGACTGTTATTTAAATTAAAAAGTTATGGGTTGAATGGCACGCCACTGGCGTGGTTGCAAAGTTTTCTTACAAACAGGATGCAATATGTTGTCCTTAACTACGTTACAAAAGAACATCAGCACCATGTTCACTCAGATAAAATCAGTATAAATACTGGTGTTCCGCAAGGCTCAATTTTGGACCCTGTTTTGTATATTTTGTATACTAATGACTTGAAAAATGCATTTGACGCAAACATAATGTATGCTGATGATACGGCAATTATATTATCTAACAAATCCAATATGCTCCTGGAAGAAAATGGTAATGTCATACTTGAAAAAATTGAGAACTGGTTTAGCTGAAATTCCTTATTTCTTAATACAAATAAAACCAAAGTCATTAGATTTCATAATCGTCAAAAGGCTTGTTCAGAAATTACTTTCAACTACAAGAATAAGGTCCTCATTACTAATGGATGCTCTACAAAATTTTTAAGTATACATTTTGACGAATGCCTGAACTGGAAACAACATTGTCAAAATGTAGTCACATCTTTAGCTTTAGCATCATACCTGTTTCGTAATTTACGTAATATTCTTGAGGAGGCCCAGCTGAAAATGATCTACTTTGCAAAAGTAGAATCTCTTTTGAGGTATGGTATTCTGTTATGGGGCTGGTCAACACTAGCACCGAAAGTCTTTATTGCACAGAAGCGGGTAATTCGGATTATTGCTGGGGTTGTTAGTACTTTCGGCTGTAAAGAACTGTTTAGGAAGTATCAAATTATGACACTTCCAAGTATATATATTTATGAATTATGTGTATTCACGTTTCATAACAAAAAATCTTTTTCATCATCACAAGAACGACACGGCTTAAATACAAGATATTGTCATAATTTTTATATTGATAGCAGTAGGTATGAATGCACTTTTAGATCACCACATCTGATGGGTCCTAGAGCACACAATCTGCTGCCTGAGTATGTAAAGAATGTGACAACAATTCAATCATTCAAAAGATTGTTGAAGCAGTACTTAATATCTGAATGCTTTTACACAGTTGACGAGTATTTTAGAATTGTGCATTAGTGGTCTTATTCGAAATCCATATGTTACTGGCTATTTTCAGTTGATTCGCTGCGTGATTTTTTTTTCTTTTATGTCCTCTTTGTACTAATTTTTTTGAGTGTATTTTTTGTATTTGATGATGTTCTCTTTAGTGTGATGTCTCATTTTACTTATTTTTTTTTGACGTCCTCATACATTTTTTTTTGTCCCAGAAGTAAATAAATGTTATTATTATTATTACCGGTAAACGTCACAATATAAAGGGGCACATCATAAAATTCGATGTTCATATCCGCAATTTTTTTGTTTACATTTTACAATATATGAAAGACATGCAGATTAATTTTCAAAGATAATCGAATTATAATAATAATTTTTGACTACTACATATATTTGCAGAGGTCGCTATTTATCTGTCGATAAGATATATATATATATAGGTATATATACATGATAACAAATAAACATTTATCAGATAGGCTGCTGCACCTGTGAGGTTTTTGTGTAGTGCGACTTTTATTTTAGTTTTCCTTTAGTTTCTATATGCAGTGTATAATAGTGAATCACGATGCATAACATGACGCGGTACCGGAACTTCGTACAATTTCAGCTTCTTGACGATTACCTTTTGTTTATAATCGTCAATGCTGAACAAGCACACAGTGTTTGCTTATTAAAATTGTTAAAACGGTTATAGTAATTGTACGGTATTCCATGCAATGAACTGACAATCTAGTGCTTAGTGAACGTGTTCTCATAAGTGACTTCATTAAGATTTATTAACTGTACCATAGTTTAAGTTTAAGAACTCAACAATTAATTGTTTTCATAAATATTTACCTTAGGAGGGCCCCCTGTATTTTACATATCTAATCAAGATAAAGGAAAAATCTGGTAAATAACATGCTATAAATAAAATAAGATAAGATATTAGATTTAATTGATTAGGAGTTTAACAGATGCTTATATGCCGAAATATGGACAATTAAATGCCAAGCAATAGCAAGGGGAATTAGGTCTGCCACATAATGTCACTTAAACTCCAAACTCCGAATGAAATACAATATTTTATTTTCAAACGATTAATATTCTTTTGAAACGATTTTCTTTTTCTCCTTGCTATACTTAATTTTTTTTTAAGTCATCCTGTATAAGCAATTTTAAAAAGTATGAATGCACTGATAAACCACAAGTATACATTCATAATATTTTGCATATTTTAGATAAGATTTATTAAGCAAAATTTTGAGATGATGTCATTGTGTCAGAAAATTAATGAATAAATCAGTTTATAGGGGTTCTCATAAAAATAAAATTCGCAAAATTAATTTTGAAGGAAAGTTCTGTCGAAATAAACTTCGACTAATTTTTTTATTTCGAAAATATTAAATTCAAGGTGTCCCACGACATACATAGTTGGCGCTAGTTTTAAAAAATCTTAGCATTCACGTGACAGCTTTAACACACTTATTTTGCAGCAAGCTCAAGATGTGGCGAAAATTAACAGCAATAGTATCAAAAAATTTAATCATCAGAAAACGACACTGGATTTTAACTCTATGTGAAGTTGTGGTCCCGATCATATTATTCGTTGTAGTGGCCTTTGCTAGATCAAAAGTTAATGGAATGAATAAAATACATATCGAAGAACCTACATTTTATGAGCCCATGGACACATACGACATATATTCTCACTTAGATGCTGGGGAAATAAACTTTTGGTACGCACCAGGCACGAATTTTACAAGAACAATAATAAATGGAATTCAAAGCAAAATTAGAATACCAGGAGATCGTAATAAATTATCTAGGAATAAAAAAACATTAAATTTACTATGTATTATGTTGTAGGTGTGAAAGAATTTGCCTCTAACAATGAACTGTTACTAGAGTTTGATGGAAAAAATGCTACAACCATGATAGCTGCTATTAATTTTAATGTCACCGATCCACATCATTTGAATTATGACCTAACACTTTATACTAAATATTTTAAATGGGACACTGATAAATTATTTATACCTGAGTTCAGTTCGGAAAAAGAAAGCAAGTGTCGTAAGTTTTCGTAATCTGTAATAAACATAATCCGTTTTCAGGAGTCAATCATTATATATATAAAGGTTTTGCTGCGTTACAAATAGCCATAGATACGTCTTTCCTGGAATTACATTTATATAATCAAGGAGCGGAACATAAAACGATTGATTTTTCTTTACAAAGATTTCCAGATCCACCTCGCACAATTGATTCCGGAGTCAATAAATTATTTGTCTACTTTTTACCAATTATAACTATTGTGAGTTTCATGTGTTTATTTCCGTCAGTATTACAACGAGTTGGAGAAGAAAAATTTTTAGGAACTAAAGTACCTATTATATGCTATTCCTTACAAATATTACTGTATAAAATTTTTTAGGAATATATGAAAATGACTGGTTTGAATTCATCTTTAATCTGGTTGGGATGGTTTATACACGCTCTGATGACCACTATATTCACCATTATAATAATTGTGGTATTGATGAAAGTGCCACTGTGGGGAGTCTCATATTCATTGATCGAACATTCAGAGTGCACAGTTTTGTTTACACTCTTGTTCTTGTACTGTATGGCAACTATAACCTTCTGCTTTTTGATTGCCTGTATTATTGACACACGTAAGTATATATATCTGGATAAAAATTCAATGTTAGGTATATAATATAATAAACTTCATGGATGGAAGGGTTCGTTTGGTAGTTAATTTCGTTTGTGCTTTTCCACATACCTACATTTTGTTACTAGTAATTTTTTGACACTCCTAAACATCAATCAACTAAATATCATATTTTAAGATAACTGAGACCATGCATTTTGGGAAGGGAGCTACTTTTTTTTTGTTTTCGTAAAGAAGTCGAGAATGAGTGTTAAACTTTTTCGGAATTAGGGGTAATATCATGCGGTGCAATTATTTTTTTTATCCGCATTTGACACTCACGACCGAATCCCCTACTTAACCTAAAAAAGTTTTTATTGCGGATTCACTGGACTAATAATGTGAAATTTTTGTTGTGTAAAGATTCTCACCACAGTCCAAAACACATCAGTACAATCAATTTTTCATAAAGCTTGTAAAATGCTTTGTATACTTGTCCAAACGGTATAAGGTTATATGACCATCATAAAAGTAGTTAACCGCAAATGCAAATAAATACCTCCTTTGTGTGGTTCGCACTAAGCTTACCGGTTGGCAATAAATCGTCTTCTAAACATTTCTTGCTCACATTTAACAGGACCGGCTTTCAAAGCGAGTGATTATTTCGGAACCCTGAGCGGCTGCAGGTAGTAAAGAAATAGTGGAGTGGTAGATTTTCATATTTAGTGAAAGCCACCCCTGAACGAAACCACAACAGCCGGTCGAGCTGCAGTTATTATTTATTAGTGGCGTTATTTACGATCCTAAAACCTCTTCTATTGTAAACAACTTAACTTCGACACAATGGGACGATTTTATGATGGCCATATAACCTTATAGCTCTTGGTCCACTATATGTGTGTTGACTAGTTATTACGTTTTTGTTAACTTGCTGATATGTTTGTTTGTTTTGTTAGTTTTTTATTGTGTATTGAAAATATTTTTTTAATAATTTATTTCAGCTTCCATTGCAACAATAGTCGGAATGTTATTTTGGATTCTATCATACTTTATACCACAATCGTTTTTGAGTTTCCATGAAGTTTTACAGTGGAAATATAAAATCCCTTTTGCTATTTTCCCTAATATGGCACTTTATTATGGTTACTCTTCTATATTCCTATATGAAATGACAGGTTATTATAGTCACAATTCGATGTTCATTCAAATTATGCCAATACAATTTTTAGAGGTTGGCATTCAGTGGAGCAATATTTTCCAGCCAGGAAGTGGAGCCGATAACGATGTAACGATGGGAAACGTTTTCATAATGCTGATATGTGACATAGTGTTATTCATGACGCTCACACTTTACATAGAAAATGTTAAACCAGGACAGTACGGAATTTCAAAATCATATTATTTCCCGTTAACCAGCTTTGTGACTGTAAGATTTTTTTTTGAGTTTATTACTTTTCTTGTGGCAAATTTATTTTCGTTATTAGAATTATGATGTACAAATTTATTATAATGAAAAAACTCCCTTTCAAGAACGTTTGATAGTCTCAAAAATGAATGCTTGATGAATATTTCTTTTTTTCTATCACAATTCTTTGTAGTTGCTTATAGGTCATGAAATGTTTTAGTTTGTAAAAAAAAGTATTGGGCAATTGAAGCGAGGAAATCGAGTTCAAAACGCATCGACAGGGAAATTATTGCAAGATTTTGAAAAGGGATCAACACAAACACCGTGTATTCAAATTATTAATCTTCAGAAGAAATACTCCCATTGTGTGGTCGTGGATGATTTAACAATGGATATTTACAAAAATCGCATAACAGTATTATTAGGTGAAAATGGTGCTGGAAAAACCACCACAATGTCTATTCTAACAGGTAATATAGGTACGCAATTGTTTATAACATGACTTAATTCTGCAAAATCATAAGGAATGATCAACGCAACAAATGGTGTTGTGTTAATTAATGACAAAAACATTCAGACACACTCAGATGACGTTAGGCACCTAATGGGGCTTTGCCCACAACACAATCTACTGTTCCCAGATTTAACTGTTGAAGAACATCTAAGGTTTTTTGCAAAAGTAGGTAGTGGTCCTAAAACTATGGACCCTCTTATATCATTTTTTTTTGTAGTTGAAAGGTTCCAATGATGGCAATGAAGATGTCAAAAATATGTTACTAGAGCTTGGAATTTACGAACAAGCAAATACAATGGTAAACTCCTTATCTGGCGGAATGAAACGAAAGCTCTGTCTTGGAATGGCTTTAATTGGGAATCCAGAGGTAATGTTTCATTGCTGTAAAAATCTTTTGGGGGTTATATTACATATCTACATTGTATCATATTCAAACTAGTGTTAAATAAATATCTTTTCAAAAATCGTACAAAATATATACATAAGAGTTTTTGGTAGATTTTGATTTTGGATGAACCAACATCTGGAATGGATCCAGAATCTCGTCGAAAAATTTGGAATTTGCTGCTGGAGTACAGAAAAACTAAAACCATATTGATAACTACACACTTTATGGAAGAAGCTGACGTACTTGGAGACAGGATAGCCATCATGGCAGACGGCCGATTGCAATGTTATGACACACCATCAAACCTGAAGACGAAGTACAGTAAGTAATCTTTGTAGTTTTATTTTTACAAACAACTTACATGTGACAAAATTTTAGATACTGGTTATCGCTTAAATTTATTACTTGATTCAAATGCTGATAAAAGTGAAATAGAGAAAACCGTCAAAGCGCATTTTCCAGATGTTCGAAAGATTCGGCAGAGTGAAGACTCCGTCGTCTATCTATTGCCACTTAAGCAAGAAGAATTTGCAGGAGGGATTAGTGCTTTGGAAAAGAATCAAAATACTTTAGGAATTCAAAGCATTAGTATGGATTTAACAACTATTAATGATGTGTTCTTAAAGTGAGAATCGGTGACTGACGTGCAATCATTTTAAATTACGGTTTTTGTAGGGTTGGTACTAACCAAGATGGCATTGATGGCGAAATTAAAAGAGAAATAGAAACTTTATCGGAAAATGGTACGTTTTATCCAGTAATATTCGTCTGTACAACTTTGAGCATACTGAATGATTCAGTTTGGTATTCACACGCATATGTTTGAAACTATTAATACAAATACGAAATATGACACACCATGTTAAACTACTTAATCATTTTTTTGAAATAACAATCAAATTAATTTTTTGTATTTATGAAATCTGACTGATTTCTTATTCTATTTTAAAACCTTAATATCCTCTCATATGTATTTAAAGAAAAAAGGCAAACAAAAAAATGTTTCTACTAACTGCAAACTCCTAAATTTTTCAAAAAAATTTGGTTCATATTTCTTATTATATTAACATTATTAGTATTATTGTTACAAACTTGATTTTTACGCATCATGGATATCTACACTAGTAATAAGTCACATTTAGTAATTGTGCGACACCACTTCAAAATTTTATCAGTATTCTTTTTTGTTCCAGCTTGGCAAGCAAATTTGCATGGTAGACTTCGCAGTGTAAATCAACTTTTAGCACTAATAAAAAAACGTTATTACTTCCTTAAGAAAAAGTATCTCAATGTGATTCCATTAGTAAGTATTTGCGTCATTAGTTGTAATGAAAAATTAGTACAGTACCAGCCAGAGTAACTATTTGGGACACTTAAAACCCTACAGAAAACTTGAAAGCGTTGGCGCTTTGTCAGTTTTAAGTGTTCAAGAAACTCTAGTTATAACATTTTAATAGATAATAATCAATAACATAACAAATTTTAAAGTAAACTAAACTCTCAACCATGTGAGCTTTGAAAACAGGAAGTGTGGTAAAGTGTCAGCTCTAATAATTTCAAATTCATTAATACCCACTGAAATAGTACTTGTTGGTCACGATGTACATTTTGACATAATCTATTTAGGATTAGATAGATACGGAAGGCGAGATCTACTTTTTCGGTGTCATAAAATTTCGAGAAAATTTGAAAGTAGCCAGCCGCCAGATGAGCCTATTATTTGCTTCCACCGCTTACACCTGAGAAGCAAAAATGTGCTATCAACTTTGTGTTAGTCATAAAAGCATTTTTTTTAAACACTATTTTACCTATCGTATGTAACTAACTCTAGTTATGTTTATATTCAGGGTGTTATTGAAAGGTACGTACAACAAAATGGACAGTTCTTCGCGAAGTCGAAGAAGCCTGAAAAATTTATTTTGTGTTACCTAAATTATAAGGGGAAAATCAACCCTTATTCAACCTTTTTAGACGCTACTGAAGGATAAATAGGTAAAATTAATTTATGTTAGTAAATCCTAACAATAAAACTTTTGTCAAGACTAAATGTTGCCATAGAAACGAAAGATGATCTTTTTATCAAAGGCGTACAACGAATTTGTACATAAATTTTAATAATTTTTATCTTAAATTTTTTTTAACTTTTAGCACCCTTGCTTGGAGACCAATTTGTTGGGACCCAAGCTGGTCAGGTCCGTTTTGTTACAAAAAAAAGACACGCGGTCCGACTCAAAAGTATGTTTATTTGTAATGTCTCTAGTGGACTGTACAGAGTGGACTGTACATACAGGGTGAGTTTCACCCGCTACGCTGCGATCCAGCTGGCGCTTGCGCGCTTACAATTTTCGCTTAAACATACCGCCCCCGTTGAAGGCTTCAAGCCTTCAAAATAAAATAATTAGAAAACATATATATTTACATGGCGAGCTAAATTAATACACAATACAATGATTATGACCCTAATCGCGATTGCAGTTCTCCGAATTAGGTAACACACAGATTTTCGCCACCGATCGTTTGATTATTCCCGCACGGGTTTTCACTGAAACCACTCTCACAACACCATCACGTCCAGGATGTTGATCGACGATTCTGCCCAATCTCCAACACAATGGAGGCAGATTATCCTCCACCAGTACCACCAAGGATCCGGTGCAAATTGGTGGCGTTGAAGTTCTCCATTTAGAGCGCTGCTGAAGTTGGCTCAAAAACTCTCTGGACCACCTGGACCAAAAGTGTTGCCGCAAAGCCTCAACACGTTGCCAACGTGTCAACCTATTGACCTTGATTTCTTGCAGAGGGTGTTCGATTGGAGCCGTAAGTGGTTCACCGATTAAAAGGTGGCCAGGGGTAAGGGGTGTAAGATCATTGGAATTCGAGGACATAGGAGACAATGGACGAGAGTTTACGCAAGCTTCGATACGCGTCAACAATGTGTACAATTCCTCGAACGTTAGAGATGAATTACCACAAGTCCGTTTCAGATGTTGCTTAACTGTTTTAACCCCAGCTTCCCATAAGCCGCCCATATGGGGACTACGTGGCGGTAAAAAATGCCAAACAGTACTTTTTGCTTGTAGTGGTTTAATCACTTCATTATAAAACGTATGTGATTTTAAAAAACGTCCCAACTCCTGCAAATGTCGATTTGCTCCGATAAAATTGGAACCGTTATCCGAAAACAAATCCAGAACATTCCCTCTTCTTGAAATAAAACGGTTAAAGGCCGCCAAGAAGGCTTGTGAACTCAGATCGCTGACCAATTCGAGATGTACAGCTTTAGTTGTAAAACATATAAATAGGGCAATATATGCTTTTACCAACTTCGTGCTCCTTTTTGAACCTGTTTTTATTAACAATGGCCCAGCATAGTCTACGCCTACTCTTATGAACGGTCGAAGCGGTTCGACTCTCACACTCGGTAAATCGCCCATTTTTGGAAATGTTACCCTTGGATTAGCCTTGAAGCAGCTTACACAATTTCTAATAATTCGCCTGGTGTTATTACGTCCGTTGATTGGCCAATACCTCAATCTTAAGCTATACAGTGTCGACTGTGGCCCACAATGTAATTGTAATTTGTGTTCTTGAGCAATTATTAGATCCGTTACAAAATGCTTATTGGGTAAAAGAATTGGATGTTTTACATTGTAATCTAAAAATGAATTATTTAGTCTACCTCCGACACGTAATAGTCCATCGGAGTCAAGAAAAGGATCGAGTGATATTAATTTGCTACTTTGGCAGATGGACTTATGATTTTTTAAATGTTTAATGTCCTCATGAAAAGCTTCCTGTTGGATATTTTTTATGATGAACACATGTGCTTGCCGCAATTCAGATATAGATAAGTCGCCGCTATGTTTATTATTTGGATTTTTAAGATTATAAAGATACCTGAAACACCAGCCAATTGCTGATTTTAATTTGTTAAAAGATGAACATTCATTTAAAGTTAACCGACTAGAATTAACTGTCGCGGCCAGCGTAATTTTCCGTTTTTCCGGTACCTCATCGTTACGAGTTTGATTAGAAACAGGCCATTTTGATGAGTCGTGCTTTAGCCACCTTGGACCCTCCCACCATAAATTGTAGTCTTTAATCTGTTGAGGGGACATACCTCGCGTAATCACGTCGGCAGGGTTATCATTGGTACTTACGTGACTCCAAGTAGCATTGGAAGTTATTGTCTGAATTTCTGAAACCCGATTTGCAACAAATGTTTGCCAGGTATGTGGAGGGGCTGAGATCCAGCTTAAAACAATAGTAGAGTCACTCCATAGAAAACAGTGGTTTATTTGCAAATCAAATGACGATAAAGTTTTCTCAAGGAGTTTTGATAGTAACAGCGCACCTAATAATTCTAGTCTGGGCAACGATAATGTTTTTAAAGGTGCAACTCGACTTTTCGAGCACAGTAGACGCACATGGTAAGTGCCATTATGATCTAAAGATCTTACAAAAATTACCGCTCCGTACGCTTGCATGCTAGCATCTGAAAAACCGTGCAATTCAACAAATTGTGCAGGGTACATTATTATTACATTGCGCGGAATTCTTATGCCATTTAGTCCGGATAATTCTCCCATAAATTGAACCCACTTTACCTGAAACTCTTGTGGCAGCTGTTCATCCCAGCTTATTTTAAGAATCCACCACTCTTGCATAATTATTTTTGCTTTAATTACCACGGGTGAAATTAGACCTAGTGGGTCAAAAATTTGAGCTATAATAGAAAGTACTGTGCGCTTTGTAAAATTGTTAACTGTCAAATCAGTCTTGATGGTATATTTAAGGAGATCCTCCATTCCATTCCAAATTAATCCTAATGTTTTTATATCGTCGCCCATATTAAAATCTACACTGTTGTCCAACTGATTATTTTGTGATGGGATTAATGCGGGATCATTTGATGCCCATTTATATAATTTAAATTGGCCCTGACTTAGAATTTGAACGATGTCCCTTTGTAATTTGACGGCATCAATTATGGAATTGTTATAACATATAAGGTCGTCCATATAAAAATTGTTCAAAATATGTGAGGAAGCTAGTGGAAAAGACTGTTGGTTTTCTAAAGCTAATTGTTTTAAGCAGCGCATTGCTAAATATGGAGCACATGATGTTCCATACGTTACCGTCTTTAACTTAAATGCTTTTAATTCTTCAACCGAACTATTTCGCCACAAAACGCGTTGGTAATTAGCATCACTTTCTTTTACCATAATCTGGCGGTACATTTTTTCAATGTCGGCAGTGAATACATATTTGTGAAGTCGGAAACGTATGAGAATGCAAAATAAGTCCTGTTGAAGATTTGGCCCTATCATTAAATTGTCATTGAGACTCTTATTATTAGTTGTTTTACACGACCCGTCAAAAACTACGCGCAATTTAGTAGTGATGGCAGTATTTTTTATCACCGGATGGTGTGGCAAGTAATAGCAATTGGGATTATTTAAATCAGCATCTGGGACTAATTCCATGTGGTTTAATATCTCGTACTCCGACATGAATTTTTTATACTGAATTTGGACCTCTGGCGCTTTATTAAGTTTTCTTTCTAGGTTGTAAAACCTTTTTTCGGCAATCTCTTTGGAATTACCCAGTTCTATTGTATCATCTTTAAATGGGAGAGAAACTTCAAAACGACCGTTATCTTGCCTGTGACATGTTTGTTGAAAATATTGCTCACAGGCAATATCTTCCTTTGACACAATGGGTTTATTACTCATTTCCTCTACATTCCAAAATTTCGCTACCTGACCTTCTAGTGAAGAGATGGTACTAAAGTGACATGCTGTTACTGGGATAGGATTACACTTAATGACACCGCCCGCAATAAACCCAAGCAACGTTTCCTGAAAGTGTGGGCGGTTTTTACATTGAAGAATTTTATTTTCCATTAATATCTGCCAAAAGATTTCTGAACCTATCAATAAATCCACCGGTTTACTGCTATAAAATTCTGGGTCTGCTAATTGAATTCCAGGTGGTATCGATTCACTTGATAATTTAACTGATTGCATTGGCAAATTGGTAGTTACTTGTGGGACTACAAAGCAGTTAATGTTAGAAGAAAAGGCCGTATAAGTCGAATGAAAATTCACGTTAACTTGTTTTTTCACAGTCGTTGTTACGCTATGTACCCCCAGAATTGTCAAATTTGTGTTTTCGCTATTTAGACCCAATTTTTTAACCATACTTTCGGTTATGAAATTGGACTGCGACCCCATGTCTAATAAAGCACGACACTTTCGCATCCTGTTAAAACTGTCTTTAATTAAAACTATTGCCGTGGATAGCAAAACAACACTGTGATTCACACCAGATTGTGCAACATTTACAGAGGAGGTTGACGGAACAATTTCTGGTTGTTGAATGTCTTCAACTTGATGTAGCAGAGAATGATGCTTATGATTACACTCTTTACATAAATTTGTGGATTTGCAGGCGCTAATTTGATGCCCCGTTCGTAAGCAATTAAAACAAAGTTTATTATTTTTTGCGAAGTTCTTTCTATCTGTAACCGGTAAAGCTAAAAATTGGGAACATTGGAACAACAAATGATTTTTTTTACATAAGACACAAGAATACTTATTTGTTGTATAGCCTGCAAAATGTGATACTGTTCTACCCTTGTGGATTAAATGATGTTTATTAGCCGGAGTATTGTTGTGATTCGCTTTAATAGCGGAATTAATAGAATCCAAAAACTGACTGCGCTTTTCAAGAAAAGTTTTTAATTCGTCCAGTTTTGGAAGTTCCTTATTTTGAGTAGCTTCCCATTCCTTTTTTGTGTTATAATCAAGTTTAGTATTTATAATAGGAATTAATATATCGTCCCACGTATCAACCGGGATATTGAGAGACTTTAATGCTTCTAAATTGATAGTTAAATTGTCTAGAAGCTGTCTTAAACTAGAATCAGATGTTTTGCTAATTATCGGAAAATTTAATATTGAATAGACATGGTCTTGCACAATCAACCGTTTATTTTTGAATCGGTTCTCTAAAATTGTATACGCTGCATTATAATTCGCGTTCGATACTGCCAACGATTCCACTGAACTCAGTGCTTCACCTCTAAGGCAGGATTTCAAATAGTGGAGCTTTTCACAATCCGTTAAGCGTTCGTCCTTGTGGACTAAATTATTAAAAGTGTCGTAGAAACTTAACCATTCGTGAAAAGCACCACTGAATGTAGGTAACTTAAGACTGGGCAAATTAATATTATGTTTATGGTTTGTTTGTTCAGGCGTTCTGGTTTGTTTGTTATTGAGAAATTTATTGATTTTTGCCACTGTGGCATAGTATTCGATCTCAAATTGGCCAGCCTCCTGTTCGGTACTTACATCCGCGGCCTTTAATAAGAGAAGCTGATGATGCGTATCTTCAAATTTTTGCAAGCAATTTTCTAGACTTGTCTTGCGTAAAACAAGTTGTTCCAAATCGGCATTCGCATCAAAATTGTTGACGTATTCCATTATTCTCTGCACTTTTGCCTTAATCAAATTCCGTTTATTCTTTAATGAATTAATTATATCAATATCTGTTTCCGTTTGTGTCATTGTGGTAATTTATCCCAACTCGGATAGTACACAAAGAGAACGCGGCACGATGCGTACGTACGAATTCGATAGGATATACTGTAGATTGGATAGTGAACCACTCACCTTGATTTTGATGTCTTGACCTGGAGGTTCTTCACTTGGTGCTGGTACTCGCTGGATGGCTTCCTGTTCTCCCCGAGGATGTTGATGTTTCTCGTGGTTCTTTAAGGACTGGCCTTAACAGTTGCACACACGTGCTTAAGGACTGGCCTTAACAAGTGCACACACGTGGTTTAAGGACTGGCCTTAACAATTGCACATACGTGGTTTAAGGACTGGCCTTAACAATATCACGCACGTGGTCGCGGTTTTTGCACAGTCCCGTATCCGGTTCGAAGTGACCAAAACTATGTTGGGACCCAAGCTGGTCAGGTCCGTTTTGTTACAAAAAAAAGACACGCGGTCCGACTCAAAAGTATGTTTATTTGTAATGTCTCTAGTGGACTGTACAGAGTGGACTGTACATACAGGGTGAGTTTCACCCGCTACGCTGCGATCCAGCTGGCGCTTGCGCGCTTACAATTTTCGCTTAAACACAATTGCCGATTTTATTTTGTACGTACCTTTCAATAACACGCTATATAATTAACGGGGATAATTTTAACAAATTTTAATTAATTTTATTTCAGTTTTTTGTTTCTATCTGCATTTTTTTATTGGCCATATGGTTATCAAACTCAGACAGTTATGATGGTGGTGGTCCATCAATTAACTATTCCTTGCAAGTATATGGAAAGCCCAAAGTGTACTATGGTGGTGAAAAGTCTTCAGATCCTGTTATCAATAACTTGAGAGATCACTATAAAAAATTTATAACCGATGAAAACGGAGAAGCCGTATACAGTGAGAATATTTCCGATGGTATGTGTTCTACATTTTTTTATTTGTTTTTGTGTGAAATTTTGTTGGGGTTGCGCACCATAAATACACACCGTATATCGTTTCTGTCATGACTCATGAAATACCAAAAAACAACTGTCTTCAAATTTTGTTTTTTAATTTCCCCATTTCATTAAAGAAAATTTAACAAGCATTTGTGAACGAAAATATGTACACCGAAGTACGTATTTTGTCTAAATGTGTATTAATTTATATCAAATATTTTCAGAAATTCGAAGCCCCATAATGAGCTATTATTAATGTTTGAATATATGTTTTACCGTTTCATTTCAACATTGATCGAAACATCGTGAATGTGGCTATCCGCATAGGTTAATTGAAATTAAATATCATTTATAACTTCCAAATATACAGGGTTGCTAAAAAGTATGGAAGCAATTGAATATCTCGGGAAGTCGGGAACGGTTATGTACTTAAACATATTCAAGCTCTATTTTTTTTTAAATAGCACCATTAGTCAAATCGTCAAGTGCTGATATAGAACCTATCTAAATTTATATTGACATGCATTAACTGCCAATTTAGTAATATCTCCCCAACCAACACGTCAAATTAGATTAAATCAAGATGATTAGGTATTAACAAAAATTAAAATTTATTTTATGATTTCAGACATAATAAAAGAAGGTGTCAAAAACATAGCCTTTTACATGAAGCACATGATCGCAGCGGTTGAATTCAACCGTACGTCAGATGGAAGGGTTGTCATAGTAAATGCCATGTATTCATCCGAATCACTGCATGGAGTACCAATTTCGATCAATCTTGCAACGAATGCAATTGCTAAGGCATGGCTCGGTAGTGATTTTTCCATTAATACACATAATACGCCCCTGAAACCACTGCGCTCTCAAGATGCACCTTTTGAATTGTCCGAGGAAAACGTTGCAAGTGTGTGGTTAACCTTGATTCCTATAAGTAAGACGATTCATTTATGTGAATTGATAATTTACACTTTAATTTATAGGCATACTTTTCTTAATGTGTAATTTTATCGTGTTTCCGTATACCGAAGTATCAACACATTTCATGCAGATCCAAATTACTGCAGGAATTAGAACATATTTCTATTGGCTAACAAATGTTGTCTTTGACGTAGTATTTTCACTGGTTCCCATGATGATGTTGTTTTCCATTCTGTTATTAGTAAATCAACTTGTCTATAATTGGCGTGCTTTCAATGCAGCAGACATATGTAAGTGTCAAGTACTATTATTATTGTTTAAACCTCGTATCTAATAATCCAAGTTACCATTGACTTTGTATTTTTTCAGGGGCAATGTTTGTGATATGTGAAACTTATATTATAGCAGCCTTGCCATTTACCTATCTATTTAGTTTTCGAAAAACAACAACAGGAGCATTTGCCCTCCTTCTTATGTTGGGTATGTTTTTCGGCATTGTTCCATCATTAATCACCGCTGCCGTGGAGTATTGGAAACAAGAGTACTATATTAAAATTGCAAATTGCTTAAAACCTGTGTTAATAGCAATAAATCCCCAATTTGCTCTGAGTTATATAAGCTTTAAGTTTGCGAAGAAATACGTTGAAAATTTCAACTGGAAATACATGGACCCAAATAAACGAGATTATATTTGCAACACCAATCCAAATCCCTGTTGCAATGGTATGTACTTCTCACTAATTATTTGTTTATGCAATTCTGGTTATATTGGCTGCCCATGGAAGAAACCTTTCTCAGCTTAAATTTTTGTAATATACAAAAATTTGGACAAGAGGGCTGCCTTTTATTTTAACTCAGTTTAAGTGTTGTAAATTCATGACAACAAATCAGTAGTGTTTGGTTATATTAGGTCCTATTACCTTTAAAACCTAATACTAATCTTAGAATAGATCTCTGAAATAAACTGTGATAAATACTCGTATAACAAAAAAAATGCAATGTTATGAAAATTTACAAAAAAATACGATTTACAATAGAATCAAATTTTAACAACAATAAAAGTAAATTATTAGTAAACCGTCGCTAAATCTCAGATAGGAAATCGCTTATGGGTCATTGTGTACATTGAGAGTAAACGTTTTTTAGTCGACTGAATACTTCTGTGTTTCAGGAGAAACGACTGAATGCCGCACATACCAAAATTATTTTCGAAATAAACAATTGGGAATTGGAGAGGATCTTGCATTAATGTTTGTGGCTTTTGGACTATATTTTGCACTATTAATTTTCATAAATAGTGAACCTTACAAAAAAATTGTACATGCCTTAAAATATCTACATCTACCCTCAATTAAAATATTTAATTACCGCCACAAAAAAACTGAAATCGAAGATTTCATCGAAGATGCATCTCTTCAAGTTAAAAATTTAACCAAAACATTTGGAGACAAAATCGTAGTGAGAGATTTACAATTTTATTTGAAAAATAATAAATGCTTTGGATTACTTGGTGTCAACGGTGCTGGAAAGTCTACCACAATCCGTATGTTAACAAAAAATTTGTTTTTCGACGGTGGCAGTATTATTTTAAACTCAAAAAAAGACGGAAAGCCATTAAGAATAAACCAATTACAGGTAATAAAAATCTTAAAAACAGAACCTATTCGTCATTGTGTATTTTTTAGTACTCTCAAGAAATAGGCTATTGCCCTCAAGAAAATTGTATGAATTACTATTTAACCGGACGAGAACTAATACGTGTTATGGCATACCTAAGAGGTTTTGAGAATAAACGCATAGAACAAATAACTGACAGTTTATTGACTTCGTTTGGTAAGAAAATTATATTTTAGTCTTATACATGTGTATTTATATGTGTACATTTTTTTCTCGTTTAAGGTTTAAATCAATACGCTGATCAACCATGTTCTGAATACAGTGGAGGAAATAAAAGAAAACTAAACTGCTGTATGGCATTTTTAGGATCTCCTAAAGTCATTTGCCTCGATGAACCCACTAGTGGTGTTGATCCAGCAAGTCGAAGAAAATTTTGGCGTATATTGTCATTATTCAAGCAGTTGAAATTATCATCTTTTTTGCTTTGTTCTCATAGCATGGAAGAATGTGAAAATTTGTGTGATGAGTACGTATCTAGGTATGATGTATTAAACTTTGAAACGAAAATTTTGTTTGTAGAATAGCAATTATGAAAAGTGGTGAAATTAACGATCAAGGGAGTCTTTTGTCTCTGAAAAATAAGTACCAAAAAGGATTTAAAATTGTTGTGACACTTAAAAGTGAAACAAGCAACTCAGAAGAAATTAAAAAGCATTTGTCAGAAAAATTAAAAGCTCATTTGAAAGAGGAATACGCTGTACGGTTTTATATTATTTAAAAAAAAATCCAAGTAGATAGATTTTTTTTATATTTATAGAATACATTAACTTACGAAGTCCTGCAGGATAACCAAAGGTTGAGTGGATTGTTTTCTAACTTAGAGAAGATGAAGGAAATTTATAAAGAACAAGTGGTGAATTATGAAGTGAATGCAATTTCATTAGAAGATATATTCTTAACCATTGCTGAAACTAAAGATGAGGCTAAAACATCAGTTTAGTTGATAGCAAATAAGTATCTACTTTGTATTTCGATACACGTAAACTGCACCAAATAATATATTCAGGAACCAGCATTAGTAGGGTCCCCTTTTACTTCTACCATGTGGCATGCACAACCGGAGCTGCATTTGAATGTATAAATGTATAAAACGTATAGATATAATTTGAAATTTCAGTATATCCCACTGAAAAATATTGTTACGGTTTTAGAGTAAATTTAAATAAAATTTATATTTCACTAATTTTTGTTGTGTGTACCTACTACTTTCTGGTTCTCGAGATAAAGTTATCTACTCTTTTAATATAGGTGATTTTATACCAACATAGAGTACAATAATTTCATTTTTCTTCAGTGTACTATAAGATAGTGGCTATTATTATTACAAAATTAATGAAACAATAATTATTGTTTTCATTTTTTCAAAAGGAAAATCGTTGCATAAATAGGTACATTTTTTTGATTTTGCTATAGCATAAATAAAATTGTTCTTGCTCTAATATAAACATTTGCAATATTAGTTATTATTAACTAAACATGCAACGTAACACTTTTCGAAAAAGTAACGAATCCCGTGTAAAGTTTTAAAAGCTTCGTGTAAAGTATCTGGGTACAGGTACCTACTATACAGAGCGTTTCTTTTATTTGATACAACCCCTGTAACTTTTTTATTCTCAAAGATAAACCTGTAGTTCTTGGAGCAAATTTGTATCACTTTAAAAGATCTATGTGATAGCAACCTCACATTTTTATTAGGGTAAATGTGTACAAGAGTACGCACTTAGTGTAAAACTGTCAATAACTTTTTAATTTTTTTGGATAGACAAATTTTATGATATGGGTTCGTCATATACATGTTTAGAGATCAGATATATTTAATTGTACGTCCCAAGACCACTATATTTTAAGAGTAATTTCAATTTTTCTCAAGATGTGTAAATGCGCACTCTTAGACAGTCCACTGCACAAGAGTGCGCATTTGAACGCTTATGAGTGCGCATTACAATTTATGAAAAAAATCTTTATTTCTAAGGTGAAAATAAATAGGGACAAGTAAGTACAGACTACACATACAACGGGATCCATATTTCTTCGTACTCTAGGGGTCTTGAAATTCGAGAAAACGTAAAAGTAGAGAGTCGGTCGACGGACTCGATTACAATACTTCATTCGCTTACGCTCAGGAAGTAAAAATTAAAAAACAAACATCACCATAACCACCACCACCACACAACTTGAGAAGCAGTACAAAGTAGTAGAGTTAAATAATTCATTATAGTATCATATGTAGACTACGTATCGCAAGTATTGCGCACTCTTGTACATTTGTACATAACCTAATGTTTTCAAAGTTAAAAGCTTTTGATGTACCTATAGAAAGTATAAAACTGCTAGTGTATAACGACACCTTAAAAGTTACAGCTAATGAACATTATTACTGTAAAATAAAAGAACTGGTACGTACCTTACAAAAAACTAAAACTGTGAGCGGTAAAAATTACATCCACATAACGCGTAAACATAAAATCGTCAGTACGATCAAACTATAAACTGTATACAGGTCACTGTTGCACCTTTATCTCAAGTTTAGCATTCGATTGTGAATGGTATAACTCAGTGGCGGCTGGTGGGTCAAAATTTCGGGTCGGCCAAATATTTTGAGTCTACACCTTGGTGTTATATATTTTCGTAATGTATGGCTGCTACTCATTAACCACTGACATTTTACGTGCCAGGATGTACAAAACATCTCAAATGTTTCGACCTGTTAAAATAATTTTTTATAGGAAATTGACAATGTCAGTTTGATTTCAAATACTATTAATCCTTAATTCTACTTGTTCTGCTTTATCATTAATTGAGAACCACCGAAAACATTATTTTTACTGAGTTCCGCGTCGACCGGCGGCTATACGGCTTGCCGACCCCGGACATCCACAATTAAATAATAATAATTAAATAATGACATGCAGTTAAAAAATATAAAAAAAAGTAATAATAAAAGTACCAACTGTTAACTATCTTCATTTACATTTATTTTTTTTTTAATGTATATGACAAATTGTCAAATAAATTAATTGAATAATTGAAAAATTAAAATGATTTAAAACTTTAAATTCGTTTCTGAAATATCTGAAAACGCTTAGATGCTAAAAATACAGAAAAAGCGCATTTATGTTGTAGCTAAGTTATGTACGAAAAATAAAATTTTAGATAATTTAATGTAATTTTTTTCGTTTATTATTCATACACAGGAAAATGTATTAAATCGACAATTATTATTAAAAAAAAATAGTATGCACTGAAGATTATCGAACCCGTTATTGTTTTGTAATTTGGTTAGCTATCTTAAATATTAAGCGTTTTAAAAACTAAATTCGCGTTGCTGGATACGGCGAAGGAGGATTTCGCCGGACCTGGCACAACATACGTTCCGCCAGGTCTTTGTCTACTACAGTGTACTAGACAAAGAGAACGATGAAACCGTAAGCTGCTACGACGTCGAAACATCGAAAATAATGCATTCCTGGATACGGCGTGCCGAAATCTCACCGGCAAAGCGTGTTTATCAGCATTTAAAATTAGCAACAAATGCTTTATTTTGTACCTACAATATAATAAAATATATTTTTAATATATATGATCTATCCTAACGTACATTCAAACTTTATTTCTTTTTTTATTTTCTAATTTCAACGCTTACTAAGTATTTTAAAATGACTGGTACGGCGTGGCCGACCCTGCCGCCCCTGACCAGCCGCCCCTGGTATAACTTCATCTTACCTAGATGGCACTAATAAGCAGAAATCATCAGTGCGTACTCTTATACATATGCGCACTCTTGTACACATTTACCCTATCACTTCCGGTAGAATCGGAAATAACGTCAACTACATTTTTTGCATCATTTGTTTACGAGATGCAACGCCAACTTGATTTTTTTTAAATGGCACATATAATTAATGTTTTTTTGAATAGAGCTTTTTTTTTTAATTCATAGGCACAATCATACTTTGTTTCTGACTGAAATGGGAAAATAAATTATTAGCAATAATTAAATAAATTAATATTTTTTTTTTTTAATTAATGTCAAACAATAAATAAATTAACCAACAACAACCAAAACCATATATAAACTTCTGTTTTCTTCAAAAGATACTCAAAATGTTCTTCATTTACTGCCTGGCAGTAAAAAAGAAGCTGAATAAACTTTTGTAATGAGTTAGTGAGAATTTCTGGACTAATAGCAATTTCGTTACGTATGCCTTCCTGTAAGTCTTCAATGTGAATCGATCTATTGATATAAACGCGATTCTTCAAGTAGCCCCACAAAAATAAAGTCAAGCGATGCCAAATCTGATAACCTGGCAGGCAGCTCAATAGTACCCCTTCGACTTAGCGATCTATTAGAAAAAGTTTCATTTAAGTACTGTCGTACTTGACGTCCACCGTCTTGTTGAAATCAAATAGTTTCTGCTAGTAACTCCGGATTTTGGTAATTGGGAAACAATTTTATAAGACTAGGCACTATACGTTTCCACAACAGCCTTAACTATCCCTCAGAATTCCCATTAATAAATAAAAGGACCATTTACATGATAACCAATAACACCGCACCAAACATTCAGTTTTTCTGGACGTGGTGGGTGAATTTCCTCCATCCAGTATGGATTTGTGTCAGACCAGACCTACAGTTGTGTCTGTTCACATGGCAAGTTACACAAAACGTAGATTCGTCAGAAAACAAAATCTTGTTGATAAAATTTCTGTCTTGTTGTATTCTGTTCATAATAATTTCGGTAAATTCAAATCTACGATCAAAATCAACTTCGTTTACCTCTTGTATCAAACGGATTTTGTATGGGTGAAACTTTTCCTTTTTCATTATTGTTTGAATTGATTTTCTACTAACATTGTGATTCAGGACTAATTGTTGCACTGACCTTTTGGGATTTTCTGTTGCGTCTAAGAGGACATTAAAGGCATTTTCATCATTTGTAGCAGGTTTTGGCCATTCAGGTTTTGGACGTTCTTTCATTAAATCTTCATAGGGTTTTTGAAACCGTCAACTTAGAAATCGATTCTCCTTCAGGATGAATTTCATTGAAAAGTGCTACTACTTGAATAAAACGTCGTTTTTTGTCGCTGTAACCGATTTATAGATGCACCATTTTTGCAAGAAACACCTTATATATCAAATGAAAATTATTTTCAAAAGTATTTATGTCATATTTCTTTTTTATTTCTTCTTATTTAAAATAAATTATTTTGCCATTTCAATAACAAATGATTGTGTTACAGCAATGAATTCAGAAAAATAAGCTCTATTCAGAAATGCATTAATTATGTGGCAGTGTCATTTAAAAAAAAATCAAGTTGTCTTGCATCTCGAAAATAAATGAAGCAAAAAAAAATTACGAATAATTGGAGCATAACTTCTTGTAGCCCCACCCCTATTTTCAGGTGATTTGTACAATTGGTTCTCAAGATGTTTAACCGTTTCCTTACCTTCTAGCGACCCTGTACACCACTACAATTTACATGTAGAGATTAAGTCGGTTTAACTGCGTTAATTGGTCACGACTGAGACTTTACCATTGATAGGTAGTGTTCGCGTTTCGGGTTTTATCCAGCAACCCTTGTCAACAAAGCATCCCTAACTTTCTCTTCTAAATCTACCTGCAATGTATCTCTTTCGACACTTTCGAGTTTGTACACTTTATATATAGCTTCAGGACCATCAACATCACAAGAAAATACCGTGTTACACAGCACAGCAGCACATGTTTGTGTTTCATTTTTATCAGTCATATTTCGGTATACGTATGTATGAGTAAGAATCATACATACGAGGGTTGTCCGGTGGAAATTGAGTCTCGTCTAGAAGATGGGTGTTTAAAAAAAAAACTTCGACTGTATGTATACACACATAATGTTGGGTCCGTTAACTTGGCACCACCAAGTTAATGAATTTTACTCAAAAGCTAGCACCTCGTTGTTCTAACCTAGCACCAGCTGGCACCACCAATCAAAAAGCTAGCACCACCTAATTATTGAAATAAAAGCCTTTTACTTTCGGGGGGGGGGGGCAAGTTAACGCTAGCCCCCCGACATTATTTAATTCTCATGAAATGTTGGTTCGAGGTAGTTTAGACCTAGCACCAGCTAGCACCATTAGTGTCATAGCTAGCACCACTCTGCAAGTATTAAAAAAAAAATAAAAACCAAAAAAAAAGTAGCCCC